TTCGGACACCGATAACCCTCTCAAAAACATTGCTCAAGTTAATCCAGCGTTTTCCAGGTTTCTGGGTTGGTTCTTTTTTTTCTTTGACTCTTAGTGCTTTAGGTTCTTTTGTTTTTTCTTTTTATTGTTCTTTTGCATTATATAACACATTATCTTTCTTGTGTTAGTAGGACTAAAGAGTTTGCATATTTATTCCTTCTTTGCATTCTCGTTCTCTTGGAGTCTAACCCTTGTTTGGCCTCTTAGAACTTTTAAGTTTTTCTTATAATCTTTGCTAGTAATCAAACTTCGATACGAACTGTGGAAGACTACTTGGTAAAGTGAGTTTTAAAGAGTACAAGATCGGCTTACTTGCCTCTCATTGTATTACTTTCTTGGAGTGACTTGTGAGGTTTCTTGCTTTGTTGAATTTTCTTTCTTTTATTTTTATTTTACTTTAAAATTTTCTTTTGAGTGTTATGATTTCAGAATGGGCGACGATAACAACAAGACACTTACGGCTATCTTAGCCACACTTGCCCGACTCACGACTCAAGTTGAAAGATTTGATGAAATCGTGAGAGAACGACAAGAACCACAACTGGGTCTACCAAACTAGAATCCAAGACCAAACAATACTGAACTTTTGGTACCCGGGAGAGAACAACCACGTTTCCAAGAACCCAAACTCTTTACAAAACCAAAGTTCACGATCCCGTCTTTCAAAGGAGACAACGATCCAGACAGGTACATCGAATGGGAATGAAAAGTTGATCTCATGTTCGCATACCATGACTGCCCCCAAGCTAAACAAGTTCACCTCATCACCATACAATTTGAAGGAAATGCTCGAACTTGGTGGATGTAAACAAGGAAAAAGATCCAGAACTTCCAAATTCCAACAATCACTTCTTGGACCGACCTCAAACAAACCATGAGGAACTGATTCCTACCGACACATTATACACGAGAAGTTAAACAACGACTACACCGACTTCGACAAGGTAGAAGTTCAGTTGAAGATTACTACAAGGAGATGCAGTCCTTACTCAATAGGGCTAACATAACCGAAAAAGAAGAAGTCACCGTGTTAAGATTCGTCGTCGGCTTAAACTCAAACATCACTGATCTTCTTGATCTACAAGGGTACGTAAACCTTGAAGATACACTAAAGAAAGCAATGACAATCGAATCACAAATCCAAAGGAGATCTCGAATCAGTGAACATTACCAAGGTACTTCATCCTCTTACCAAGGTAATCCTTCAAATCCTTCCTCATCTTCTACTCCATCTTCTCTGAAAAAGCCAAGAGATGACAAACCTGACAAGGAGAAAGAACGACCAGCAAAGAATGACACACTTTCAGTACCTAAAGATCAAATAATAATTTGTGAGGAGGTAGGGAAAGCAAAAAAAGAAAAAGTTGAGAAAGAGACAAAAGCAAAAGAGGTCACTAGTTATAAAAGCCAAAAGAATAATGACCTATGGGAGGTGAGTGAACCTAAATGTGAGAAGAAAAGAGTGACTCAAAATCTATGTGTGAGCACAAAAGAATTGAGAGAGAACCTTCTTTACAAACAACCTTGCATCCTTGCTCGCTTTAGGGAATCAATTGTTTCGATTTCTAACATTAACAAGGATTTGCCTAGTGTGTTTTCATCTCTTTTACAGGATTTTCGAGAAGTGTTAGGTGATCTACCTAACGAACTACCACTGAAAAGAGGAAAACAATGCCAAACCAATCTAATTCAAGGTTATATCATACCTCGTCAAACATACAATCTCGAAGAAACCAAAGAGTTGGATTTGTTACAAAAAGGCTACATCCAGGAAAGCCTTAGTCTTGACGCCATCTTAATGAAGAAACATGATTTGAACAACTCTACAGGCTTTATAGTTCGTGCACATGAAATCCATGTAAATGATGAAATAGTAAAAGCAACACGAGACTGGCCCACACCATCTTCCATAGCCAAGAGTTGTCGAATAATATTAAGTGACCCTCCTGACGGGTTACCACCTGAAAGCCCTGATCACTATGCCATATCAATGAAGAGTCACGATTTACGGGAGTCCAAAGGTAAGTATTTTATTACTCATTTTAATGACATTGTAACATACTTCTTCTCCTTCTTACAAGGTAAGGCTCGTGAAGTTGTCATCCATACTAAACACAACTCCTTTAAGTGCGTAGCTGACCGAGGTAAGCAAAACACATTAGACGATGCACTACCACGAAGGTATACTCTTAAGCATGCTACTATTCCAAGAATTGAACATATAAAAGATGTATATCACGATAACTCGAATATTTCTGATATTTCTACCTATACTTTTAAAAGTACTTTTAATGAGTTTTATCTTGTATATGAGTTTCCTTGCCAACTAAACAGGTTCTACAATCCACAAATCTCCTGTCGAGAATTATTAATTCATGAACCACACTTAGGAGACTTAAGGGATTACTTTAACAAACCAGTTGACATGGTTTTTAAACACTCATTCTCACCACAAATGAATAAAACCATGGAGAAATTATTTGAAGAAATCATACAGAAAGCAAACAATGGTCGACACCATGTTGAATTTCAACCTAAACATCAGATTACAAGACTTATATGCAAAAGAGGATTTCAAGACTACAAGAAATCAGTTCCTATAAAGAAGAAACCTCGACTGAAACGTATAAAGACACATCACATTGATCCTGGTAAATGTTTCACAAGTTTTCCTTTCAACACATCTAAGTCTCTTTCTCTTGGATTTTTAGATTCGAGGACGAATCCTTTTGAGGAGTGGGGGAATGATACATGCACCAGAGTCCATAATACATGCTTCTTTGGACTAATGTTTCTACTCGAACCTATTAGAAGAACAAAGTCTCGAAGATTCAAAGCATATCTATTCGGTAAGTATAATGTGAATGAATCATTAAACGATTTTAATGTTGCTCCCTTTAATGTTTCAGATTCGAGGTCGAATCTTTTTGAAGAAAGGGAGGATGATACATGCATCACAAGGCTCACATCAAAGGAAGAAGTAATAACTCTTCCAAATGATCCACTCGTCCAAGCATTGGAAAAGAAGATCAGAACAGAAGCAGACTTACGACGACATTTTGAATGGGATCCTGATCTTATTTAGTCAAGATTTATTCTGTAGATACGACCGTCTGTCTCTTATCTTTCCAACGGTTCTTGAATCGCATCAATACGATATCGGGAACTCAAGATATGGCTATTTTACTGAAGACGGTACATGCAGAAAATCCTATACGGGATTAATACGGGATTTTGTAAATATTACGAATTTTCAATATTTTTATTGATTATTTGTAATATAACTTAATATAGGATGATACATTATCTTTTAGGATTAGATTTATTATTTTATTAGGAATTAAGGTTGGGTTAAAAATATTATCTTTAGTTATTATTATTTTATTAAGAATTAGAGTTAAGATATGTTTAGTTTATTATTATTTTATTCATTAGTTATTTAGGACCTTTACAACCCAGCCCCTATATAAAGGAGGCTTCATTAAACTTTGTAATTCAAGATTTCTTTGATTAATAATACAACGAGAGTTCGTTTTTGCAAGTGTTGATTGCCTTGTGCTTTCGAAGCTTCTTCTCCTTGAGTTCTTTCAAGTTCATATGAGGGATATTAGTCTTCACACTCCAATTTCCCTTTTCATCGCGACTAGGAGAGTATGTTAGAGCCATATTATCGTGTTTGCCTTTTCATTACGACTAGGAGGGCTCGATAGGACATTATCCATCGATTTTCCGCATATCCATCCACGTCATCAATCATCTTTACCGTTCACCTTCATAAGGGAGATCTTTTGATTTTTTTGTTATCTTATTTTATTTGCAATTCCTTTATCTTTTCTTTATCTTGTTTTAATCTTATTTCTTATCTTGTTTCCATCACCAAAAAGAAACCCTAAAGAACCCTATCTATTGCCGCCACCTTCCCCATTCATCCCTTATTGTTCTTCATCGAGTCTAGATCTTTTCTATGTTTGATTCTTCAACAAGAGCAACGTTCTTCAATCCGCCACCGCTTCCCTATCACAATGCTATTACGTTCTAGTCAGTGCTCTCAGCTTGCAGTAATGGTAAACTAGTCAATCTTGGTCTCGAGCATTTCCAGTCCATGAGTGAAATATATGATATAGTGCCACAGTTGGATCACTATGTTCACTTAGTCGATATACTGGGACAAATCAGCCGTCTAGAAGAGGCTCTGGAAGTGACACAAACAATGCCCTACAGAGCAAATTCTTTGATCTACAAGACCTTACTGCGATCCTGCAAGGCTCATAGAAATATACCTCTAGCTGAAGATATGGCAAAACGAGGCCTTGAAATCGACCCATCGGATCCAGCATTCTATATACTGCTAGCAAACTTGTACAAGGACTCCAGTCGAGGTGACTTAGTCGAGAGGACACTCAAATTGATGAGGGAAAAACAATTGAGGAAGAATCCTAGCCAGAGCTGGGTGGAAATTCGGAACAAACTTCACCTATTTGTTGCTGGAGAAAGATCGCACCCACAGACAAATGAAATTTACGAGAAAATCAAATCGTTTGAGGCCGAGTTTATTAATCATGGATATCTACGACACGGCATGAGAGCTAGGGACTCGTATCATCACAGTGAGAAACTAGCAGTTGCATTTGGTCTTGTAAATACCCCTTCTAAGGCTCCTATACATATAATTAAGAACAATAGTATCTGCAGAGACTGCCATAGCTTCTTAAAATTTGTAGCACATCTAGTTGACAGGGAAATAATTGTAAGAGGGTAATCGTCTGCATTCCTTCAGAAAAGGAGAGTGCTCATGTGGAGTCTAATACATTTTGTTTTCATTTATGTTTCAGTCAGAATAATCCAATAATGACTAGCTAAAGAAAAAAATCAATAAATAAAGGATAAATTTAGATAAATTTCTGAAGGATGGAGAAAAATAGCACAGGGCAACAGAATTTTTGGGACCCAAACTATATTAACATTATTGGCAACTGGTTCCAGCCTTTGTCTTTAGGGTTTAAGCTCTGTTGTATTGAAGAAACAGGCACAATGCAGGATTGAAAAAAACATAAACAAAAGTGTGATTAGAAAAATGCAATCTTCAACTTTGAAAACCAAAGTGTCTCCAGCAAAAATGCCTTCAGCTTGCTTTTACTCCTTTATTTGTGGCTCCCAACAGGTGATTTTAGGCTCGTCCTTTTTAGAAAGGGCTTCAAGCGTCTTGTAGAACTCCTCTGGGAGAGGACCAGGACGGTGTAGAGGAACATGCTTGGGAACTGGTGCATCGTTTTCAATAACCTCACATTCATAGTCTTCGGGAACAACCCAAGGATCCAACTCTGCAACCAACATGACGTAGAATGGCATGTCATTATTCAGAAAATGCAAAACATCAGAAGTTTTCTTGCAATTAACTTCATACAAAGCTTGCAACAGAGGAGGCTTTACTGGACATTAGATAACAGATTAATGCACATCAAACAGCTCTAAAAGTTCCAACTAACATAATACCAAAACACAGAAAACACCTTCACATGGAGTAGGCCAGAAGAATTGACAACTGCGGCTAAAAATAATGCCTCGATAGATTTTGAATACGAGTTACCAGAAACTAACTATATGCCAGGGATAAGTAAAACAACTACCAGACTTTCAAAGCAGAAGCACAAACAATGCAAAACCAGAAGAACAACACGAAATATCTCTCGTCTAATGCCAGTGAAGTAAGGGTTCACATTTAAACAAACCAAATTTTGAAGATTGAGGTGATTGCTGAAAATTCACAATTCAATGCATAGATAAAACTGATTAACATTAACTAATTTAAATGTGTTAACCTTATAGAAAAAGTGAATGTTGATCTCAATTTTAATGTATATATCCCTCTTCATAATCCAAAAACCATTCCGATTATAGCCCCCCCACCATAGTATTCTCAGCTGATACCAAGTCAATTTCCATGTTACTTTCACAATCAAATTCATTCCAATTCCCATGTCCATTATTAAATTATGGCTAATCAATTCAAACGCCTTCTTATTAACAGAATTTCAGATTTTCCATATGCAACCTTGATTAAGCAAAATAATAACCAGCTCTAATTGACCCAAATTTGCTTGCATAAAGACAAAACCAATCATAAGCAAAGAACAAACCCTATAATGGCATGCATACATTTAAAACAAAATCGAAATAAAGAGAGATGGAATGGGAACAAACCAATCATTTTCCCGATAAGAGTGAGCTCTTCACGCGCTTCCTCGATGAGCTCCTCGACCTGGCCGCATCCGAGGCGCTTCTCGATCATTTGCCAGTTTTCCTCTTGGCAGACTTTCAAACGGTGGCGCGTGAAGCTTTCCACGGCCTTACGGTAGCCTTCAACGTCGGGTACGGACTGGATCTCCTTAAGGGTCTTGTTGTATAGCCCGATCAGGACATCTCTGGCGTTGGGGACAACGTCTAATCCGACGATCCCCGTCGTCTCTTTCACCTTCGCCAAAAACGGCCGCGCGACCAATCGCAGGAACACTTTTTAGCTTTGTCCTTTTCTTTGTTGTCGGATTCTGGCGGCGCACTGTATTACTTCTATTACCTCGGGTGTTTTTACTTCTGTTGCGATGAACAAAGGACCGGAGCTGAGAGAATGTAATTGGGTTGAGTTGGGTGGTGGTAGAATCGTGTGTTGCGAATTCAGGGGATGGACGAATCTCGACCGATTGTTTTGTCGTGTGGGTCATCGATCGGATGGTTATTGGTCCTTTATGGGCTCTTAATTTTGAAGACTCTCGTGGGCCAAGACTAGCCCATAGTGATCAAAAGGAAAATATATACAAGATTTAAGTAACGATTTGACCCCTAAATTATACCTCATCGAATAATATGGTACTTCAAGATTTTTTTTTCTTTTCAATCTTATACCTCTATTAATTTATTGTCTTTAAAATTAATTTATTTCATTATGAAATAATGATGTGATATATTTGACCAATAAAAAATCACATGAGACCAATCCAACACTAATTTCAAATGAAAACTAAGTCAAATACTTTTGTAAATTCATGCCAATTTTTTAAACATCCATGTCATCTCTATAGTTAAATATTAACGGTTAGTGGCTTGATTGAAGCATTTAAATAATTGTGATTGATTAAATCAAAATATCATTGGTCAAAATGAAATCTAATAATAATTAAGTGGTCATCTATGTAGTTTATCCTGATACTTTTGTAAATTCACGCAAAAGAGTTTTACATCTATGAGTGTCGAGTTAATATTATATGAATCAAGTACAAAACTAACTGCCCCCCCCCTATGTTATACTTTGTTAACAGTCAAAACTGATCGACGAATGGGGTTAACTAATTGTATTTTAGTTCATAATGATTCAATTGAATGTAATATTTTCCATTATGTCTCAGCTGATATTTTTTCTAATTTTTTATTACAAGTTTTTCAAACACGTGTCAGTACTTCACTAATGATTCTTGACATCAAATACTATTTTAAAAATAACGGATTAGTTTTAAGTACTAACTTGTGTAACATTTGTCAATCATAAATATTAATTTAAGAAAAGATATGAACTTTATATACATGTTTATATAATAAAAAATAAATTTTAAAGCAATAATCTCTAAATCAGGTGATTAGAAGTTTTCAGTTTGTCTTTCTTTCTCGTTGTCAAAGCCTTGCGCCATGCAAAAAGCTTGAAGTCGTTGCAGGCATTTGAAACAATGGAGCTTGAAACTTGTGGTTGAAAATTGAAAATGAAGGAGTAAGGCTTCCATCAATTCTTTTCCTTTCTCTTCCATGTTTACTGGTAAAAAATGCCACTTTCTTCTACTTCTATATTGGTGGATGTGATGTTTTCTGCATTTTTATAGCTTTTCTCCTTCAATTCTTCGTATCCAAAGAATTCGAGTATCTTATACAAGTATAGCTCTTACATTAAACAATACATATCCCAAAACACAACCCAACTCATACTAACACCAATACATTCCAAGCTGCGATAGGTAATAAGAACGATATGGACAGCAAAAATTGATCTACATCGAACACAGCGGCAATGGGAAGTAACCGAACTGCAGTAGAGACCAGCATAACCAAACCTGCTAAAATACTGCATTATAACACTGCATAACACCAAAGCTACATCATTCTTCAACCCAGCTCAACATCAATCCACTCCCCAAATCATACTAACACCAATACAAACGAAACACCTGTAGGAAGTTATAACAAAATGGACAGCAGTTCTGAAATACCACAAAAACACAGCACCAATGAGTTGCATCAGATCAGCAGCAGAAACCATCTTCATCAAACATAAACGACCTCACTACAGGTATATAAGCAAAAACCAGCAGTAGCCTGTCGCACCAAACCTGGGAATTAAAGACCCAGCAGCAACACTGTATAGCATCAAAATCTCTAGCTACACGAATAAGCCTCAGTTGAGAACTTGAGCAGATAACAGAAAGACCAAGTAGCTATTCGAATAAAGGTACTATGGACCTCAACCAGAAACAGGTACAGAGCAATTAATAAAGATTTAAGGACATGGAGCTAAAGCAAGACCTACATTCTGCCTTAGTAACGTATCATAGAGAAAATGTTCCATTCAAACGAACCCAACTAGATTGATAAACATGAGTCGACATGGTCACATTAATCCATAAGGGAGTCACACTGTCTAATCTAACAATTCATAATTAAGATAACCCCTTTGTAAACTAAAAAAATTAATGATTCACCTTCCCTCTTCATCAATGTTTGATATCCAATGTAACAAAAATAAAATCTCAAAGACCAAGCAAACATACCACACAGTCCAATCTAAAAAAAAAACAAGATACAGCACCTTTGTAATATATGTAACAAAATAAAATAATGATCCATGTTTTTAGATTGAGCGGAACCACTGATAATTTCATTTACGAGATCAGTTAAATTTAATGGATTAAGATAAACCATAATTATATATTTCGTAATCTTGATTTCTTAATTCTCTTTCTCCAAGGAGTTTGGTTGAATCAAAATCTAAATTATATGTTTCTTAATCATGATTTCTTATAACAAATTTGTTTGTAGGTGTACACAAAAAAAAATCAATTGTAAAAAGACATAAAAGTGGAACAAATCAAAGGTTTTTTTATTGATAAACATGAGTTACAATTTCTAGAAGTTTTTAAAATACAAAGAAAATCATTTGTTTCTTTTCTTTAATAGAGTTTCGATACAAAGATTGTTGAGGCTTGATAATAGATTGATTGAGTTTTCCCCCCGAAATTGTTGAGACTTGATTTTAAAAGATGTTGTTTGGAGAGTCATCTTTGGGTGATTGTCGAGTGACATGTAACATGTTGAGTTGGTGAGGTGGTAGGGACATGGAACTTCGTGGAAGAATAAGGTTATATGTGATGTTTTGGGCTTTCTTTGATAACATGATTTGACCCCATACTTGAAGAATGTTAGAAGACTCGATAACATTAGCTTTGATAAAAAAGGATAATGACATATTACCAAATAATATTCTAGAGGATAAGTATACTTGAATTGTGATTTAATATATTATACTTAGATAATTGATTTTGGTAGGTGGGCTTTCATCGTAGCCGTCAATGTAAATCAATTTGTATCGTTCATTACAAAAGGACACAACTATAAATAGAGATCTCCTTCACCTCATTTGTATCATTAATCCATCATTCAATAATTAAAAACATTTATCTTAAAGTTCTTTTGTTCTATTTTTGCCTTGATACCACTCTTGATAGTCTTGGTGTTAATATTAGAATTTAAGATTTTTCGTGATCTTATAATTTTGAATTCGTATGATGTATGAAACCTTCGCTTAAATTAAAAATATTAAAAAATATTCTTTCACAAAAAAATTATACTACTAACTTATATAATAATGTCACATTTGTCTACAAAATATGAAGCACATACAACAACAACAACAACAAAACCCTATTCCCATATGCAATGAGGTAAGGGGGAGGTGGGGTAGTAGGTTGCCCCCAACGCCAGATTGAGAGCAGCTTCCGTGGAAGACCTCCGGCAGTAAGAAAATTAAAAATAAAGATAAGATACAATGCCTGCATAAATAAATCAATAAATACATAGTTGAATAGTCTTCATATGCTGTCTTCATATCTGCGTCTGTAATGGTTAGTAAATCCCTACAAATAAATCCCTGCGTAAAAATCTCTGCTTATAGACAGAAACGTAAGTCCCGGTTAAATATAAAAAGAGGAAAAATGAAGATAAGGATATACAGGAGTCAGCGATAGCAAGCTACGAGAAGGAATAAAGTCAAATGGTTTAAAACCTAAATTAAGGCAACACTACTCTGTTATCCTAGTTCTAAGCCTTCATAAAATCTAATAACAGAAACGTATAAAAAGTAGAAGTCATGGAGATTACTACGAAGGCATTAAAAGGAGACAGAGATGCTACACCCTATGGTTGTGACCCACACTACTCGACTACCCTGGTCTTAAGTCTCCATACTTTTCTATCAGAGGTCATGTCCTCGGTAAGGGCTAATTCCTTCATATCAGATCTCAAGCAGTCTACCCACTTCCTCCTTGGTCGTCCTCTCTTTCTGGCACCGTCGAGTGTAATCGACTCTACCCTCCTGACCGTATCCGACGTTTGTCGCCTAAGGACATGCCCAAACCACCGTAGTCTTCCCTCTCTCAATTTTTCGGATACATGAACCACCCCCAAGGACATCCTAATTGCAGAGTTTGGTGTCATGTCCCACAGAGTTTTACCACATGTCCATCGAAGTATTCTCATTTCTGCGGCCTCCGTCCTCCTTACGTGATCCTTCTTGATTGCCCAACATTCTGATCCATACAGCAGCGCTGGTCTTATTGCCATTCTATAAAATTTTCCCTTAAGTTTTAGATGCACCTTCTTGTCACACAAAACTCCAGTTACAGCCCTCCACTTTAGCCATCCCGCCTTTATACGGTGTGTAACGTCATCATCTATACCCCCATCTTTATGTATCATAGACCCCGGGTACTTGAAACAATCCCTTGTGGGGAGAACGTGTCCTTCTATGCATACTTCTAGATCTTCATCGTTTTGGTTCCCACTAAAGTTTGAACATAAATACTCTGTCTTTTCAATATTGATCCTTAGACTTTTTTCTTCCAAAGCAGTCTTCCAGGAAGTCAATCTACTATTCAGTTCAGTTTTTGTTTTAGCAACTAGGACAATGTCGTCAGCGAAAAGCATACACCATGGAACACCGTCTGGTGTCGCACAAAAGATGTCGTCCATAATCAAGGCGAAGATGTAAGGGCTAAGAGCAGACCCCTAGTGGAGTCCGATTTCCACCGGGAAAGGCTCGGTGTCGCCAACTGTAAAGTCAAGTTCATATATCTAATTGGATCAAGAAAAAAGTAAAGTATCAAATTGAATTTTAAAGTAAAGTTCAAGTATCAAATTGTATATTGTCTCATACTCTAAAGTTCAAGTAAAGTTAAGCATGATCTTCTTGTACTGTTTTGT